CAACACGAAGGACAATACAAATGATAATGGTGAAAGCAGCTCAGGAATAAAACTGGTAGCAAATATAAATTCACAACAGCAGCTCAGAGGCTATAAATGAAAACAAAATGCTGCATTTGGAAGACTGTGACTACCTGTTCTGTATTACTGTATTGATCCAAATGGGAGTTAATTCTGTCCAAATGGTAGTTAATTCAGAATGAAATACAGGAATGCCTTGGTGGCACAGTGGACTGCTAACCACAAGGTCAGTAGTTCAAACCCACCATCTGCTCCACAGAAGATGAGGCTGTCCATTCCTGTAAAGATTCATAGCCTCAGAAAGCCTAGGGAGCAGTTCTATATGGTTGGTCACTAGGAGTAAGAATTGATTGGATGGCATGAATTTTTAAAGTGAAGTATCACCAAGATTTAAAAAAAAAATTGTCCAGCATTCTGTGGGAATACATGAGTGAGATTTTTCTAGGAACTTTTTGAAAGCCCTTTGTATAATGCTAAGGTTTATAGTCACACAAATGACACTCAGTTGCCAAAGTCTTGTGGCACATGCTTCATTTTATCTTTTTGAAATATCTAAAACACTGCATAAAGCCTAATATTCATGCAGTTAACAGATACAAACATCCAACCCTTCAAAATATCTGTACATTGTATGTACATAACATAGGTTTCTAAAGCCATAGCTACTGAAAATTAATTTCAACAGAATCATATTCACCCAAACCTTACCTGGTCCAATACAGAAAACTTTCTCAAAGTCAGCACAGATACACATCTGCTTATACAGCTGTGGGGACTGAGCCAGGTATGCATTGTTTTTAAAATAGGACACAGTAAAGACATTGGCTCCTCCTTCACTGGCAGCTAAAATATAAATATTCTTATTAGTGTAATCAATTACAAGCTCATCGGTGCAAATCTAATAAAAACAAGTAGTTCAAGTAGTTTACTTAAAAAAACAAGGGAAAGCAATCATGGCAGATAAATCCTCATGGATCAGTTTACTCTTCTTACACGTTTTTCTAAACAGTTTCTAGTTAAGTCAGACATACGCCTTTGAGAATACATTCATTTGAATGTCATTCCCTTCCTTTCTGTGTCAATTTACAATCTATTAAAACTACTTTGGGTTGGAAAAATAAACATACACACATATATAACTAATCTAAACATCATTTGTAATTGTTACTTACAACACACAGAAAAGGTGTTACTTAAGCAACTTTAAAAATGGTAAAATGAGTCAGGTAAGATTTTCAGACGAGTGAGAATTAATGAGATTTTCCCATTTGTAGTATCTAGTGATTTTACAATGCGGTTTGTAAAAAACAAAATTGCAATACCCATTTCGAAAGAAGCCTACATAATGAAAGCAGTTCCTGCTGCAACTTATGTAACACGAAACCCTGCTCTGTGTGTGTTATTGCCTCATCTTCTAGTCGTTATCACACCCAGATTCCCGAAGGAAGGTGCTAGTGGTGCAGCACTGATAGCGATACAGCACTGCACGGTTGTCAAAATATAGCTTCGCTCGGCAATACGCCTTAAGAGACTCGTTTGGAATTCCAAAACAAAACCAAACATACCAAAATAACACCACCAACAAAAACACATACTATTAAGTGATTCTGTATAAACCCAGAGCATTTGTAAGAGTTAGGAGACATTATTCTGAAGCATACCTGAAATAATTTTGGGAGTCTGGATTTCCACAAACCCTTTGTTAATTAGAGTCTCTCGGAAGAGATGGCAGATGCCAGACTGGAGACGGAAGACAGCCTGGCTAGTTGATGTCTACAAGTCAATAACAAAATCTAATTAAATCAAGTGAGCATCCACTAAGTGTTCTAGGCTTTGCGGGAAAGTACAGAAAAATAAAACCATTCTTGCTCTCAAAAATTTTCTAAGTCTAATAGTAAAGAAGAAGGAAAAACACACAAATAAACATTAATACATAGTAGAACGTGATAAGACATGCTGGTATGTACTGATTACATATAATCATTAAATAAGGTAGAATATACAGCTAGTCTCTTAGAAATGCTTAGTGAACAAATGTTTTCATTTATAAGATTTCCATAAAAGAAAAATAGTTTTAAATAATTAATAAAGCCACTTACACACTGAATTCTCTCTTTTTTTCCTTAAAGAGGCAAACCCATGAACTGATATATTATTTATCACTTTGTGTAGTGTAATAATGCTGTCTTAAAGAAATATTTTAGCATTTGACAATGAATGAATATACTTTCACTGGAACCATTACTAACAGATTATAGTTATGTGTTGCTGTTATTATAATGTGTGTTGGTTATAATTTGGGGGGGAAACCCCACAATAAATAGGTGACATTCTGATACCGATTTCCCAGGATGGTACAGAAAACAATATCAATACTCTAAACTGTCCATCTTTTGTCACCTTTTTGTATTCTCTCCTTTTCTTTCTCAGTTTCTCTATTCTCCTACTTTGCTTTTAGACTAGATTAGTTCTGACAATGAACAGAAAGCTCTAGACTAAACTGCTGTTTCTCTGATCAAAGAATTGTTTTCTTCTCTGTGGTTCTTATTTATTATATAAGGGGGGGGGGATTAGTCATCCCATGGCTGTACAGTAAAATATCTGATTTCAAACCAAGGGGGCCAGATGAGTTAAATGAAGAACCCCAGTCTTACATCTAATCTTATTAGAAGAAAGGTAATTATTTGCCTCATGTCAAAAAGCTGGATCCTGAGAGCAAGCAGATTAGTTAGTTAGACAGCACTACCCTTTGAAAACACTGCTAATGGTAAAAGTCTACTTTTACTAAAAAACAATACAACAAAACCCCAGAAAGATAAATAACCTCAAATTTCTATATACCAGAGTCAAGTATTCATGTAAACTGGGCCATACGTAACATTATTTTATAAGTGAAACTCAAAGGCATATATAAATCATTTCTTATAAAATAATAAAGACCATTTAAAATATCTTCCTGTAGAACCATTTTCAAGATATCTACATTTTAAACGATGCAAAAAGACTTGTGGTTTTTTAATATTATGTGGTTTAGTCAAACATTTAGTTCATTCAATCAAAACAAGTTGCCTCATCTTCTGCTTTCAAAACCTGCCAACCTCTTTAAAACAGAAGACCAGTTGCATCACTACCGAGACACACAGAGAGACAATTCACCTCACTAAAATATACTCCATAACGGGGTCATGAAATATGTTTTACTGCCATTTGTCTCTTGTAGCTAGCCAAACCAAAGCACTTCAACCTGCTAATGGAAATTAATTTCTGAAATAACTGTCACAGCTTACATAGCATTAATAGAAGTTTAACAGATTGTTTACAAACCATTCTGTGCCCACATTCTTTATCTGCTGACTGTTCAAACAGGCATATCAATGTGGAGCATTTACGAAGAAACTAGATTTATATGATTTTAAGGAAAAGCCTTGTTCTCCCCTTCCCCCAGCAGTTAGGCACCTAACCTGACTACATCGATCTGATTAAATCAGACGTCACTTGCAAGTAATCCACGCGATAATTCTGAGATGCCCTAATTTCTATCTAGTTATTTACATGCTTGAGAATATTCACTAGCAGTTTCTTGAAAAATGGTTTAATTTGAGAATTGTCCATCATGGGGTAAAGATTTAGGATACAAAAAGGGATAAACCAAAAGAAATGACTCAACATAAGATGTTCTTTAGCAGTAAATAAAAATGAAGGGAAAACAATCCTAAACTATTTAGATTACTTATCAGACCAACCAAAAGACCCATCACTGCAATCACGGTGCTAGCACATCTGGACCGGTCATTCTGCTGGTGAGAAGAAAACACCGAACAATCACTCAGAGGAGGTTTGAATCCCCCTGCCCACACTTTCCCTGTGCTCAGAAGAAACTGTCTTCAAATCCAGGTTGGTTGATTAATTTAGCAAAGGAAGAGTACTGCACAGACTACATCAGAATCTGACACGTTTACACCTCCACCCCGGTCATCTTTCAACATTTATTCCTCATGCAAAAAGCATTACTTTTGCAGGAGAGGCCAACAGAACAGCTAAAATCTAAGAGACAACAAGGAGAACTTTTCTTGTTCTGGGTAAATCAAGTCATTCTAGGCAGAACTTATCTAAAGAGAAAGAAAATAATTATTTTTATGGATTCATCTTTAATTGTTACCCTATTACATATGGACTGAGATAATCAACTTCTCTTGTGTCTACAAATTTGATAGTTATGGTAAAAATCTAACAGATCCAAATTCTCAGTAAGTTTACAGAGAGTATAATAAAGGAAACATGTGCTTAAGAAAACAGTTGTTTCAAGTACAGTGCTTCTAAAATATTTA